TGTGTGTGTGTGTGTGTGTATGTGTATGTATGTGTGTGTATGTGTGTGTGTGTGTGTGTGTGTGTGTGTATGTGTGTGTGTGTGTGTATGTTTGTGTGTATGTGCACCACATGCACACCTGGTGCCCACAAGGTCAGAAGAGGCTTCCGGTGCCCGGGGCTGGAGTCACAGCTGGTTGTGAGCCACCATGGAGATGCTCTACAAGAGCAGCCAGGGCTCCTCACTGGGCAGCCGTCTCTCCTGCCCCTCATGTTTACTTTTCAATGGGGGGGGGGATTCTCCTTGCTTTTCACTAAACCTGTGCCCCGTGTTTAGCAATCAGGCCAAGTTCCTGCACAACTTGGTGCAGTCTACTCCATGAGCTACTTTTCCTATTCTGGCCTAAAAGGGTAAGGAAGGGGGGTATCAGTCGTGGGCCAGTGAGCAGAGTGGGTCTGAAGCATGCTATAGCCTGGAGACTAAAAAAGAGAAAATCCAGAACTGTAACGTGAGCAATAATACCATCATACACTTATCTAAAAAGACGCCAAACAGGTGGCCAGGAAACACCAGAAAAAATGCCGAGCATCTGCAGTCAAGGAAAAGGAAGACAAAACGACACTAAGACCCCACCCCACCCCACTGAGAATGGCTATCAGCAAGGACAGAACCATGCTGCTAAGCATACTGGGGAGGCGGAAGCTTACACTCTGTTGATGGGAACGTCAGTTAGGACAGCCACTAAGAAAAAGGGCAAGGACGTCCTAAATCACACACACAGAGCCTCACGAACTGAACTATCACATGAGCCATGTACACTAACCCCAGAGTATACACTCAAAAGAATCAGAGTCAGCATGCAATGGGGAGACATCTACCCATGTTCCCCGTGGCACTACCCATGACAGCCAAGTTACAGAATCAGGCTAGCTGTCCATCAAAAGGTACATGGATGAGGAAAATGCAACATGCATATATATGAGACAGACTTTCATTCAACAAAATCATGTCATTTGCAGGAAAACGGACAGAACTGGAAGTTTGTTATGTTAAGCAAAATCAGCCAGACAGAGAAAGACAACATGTTTTCTCTCATTTGTGGAAGGGAGGGAGGGACTGCTAGGGAAGGGTAAGGGACCCGGGGAGAGAGGAGAGTAAAAACGTGTGGTTGGGAGGGTGGATACAACCAAAATATAAATATGAATGTATGGATACATCATAGAAAAACATGATATTGGTAATTAGTATGCATTAATAATTCTGATTTTATAATACAACATGTGGGGGTGCTGGAGAGCTGGCTTGGGGTTAAAAACACTTGTTGCTCTTGCAGAGGCCCCAGGTTCAATGCCCAACACCCACATGGAAGCTCATAGCTATCTGTCCAGTTCCAGGGGACTGGACACCCTCTTCTGACAGACCTCTGCGGGTACCAGACACAGATGTGGTACACAAACATACACGAGACAAAAATTCATATACGTAAAATAAATAAAAAACCAATTCCAAAACCCCGTTTTAGAAAGTCCGCTTGAGCGTTAGGTCGTCTAAACAGTTGCCCTGAGTGTCTTTCACACTGCAGCCTCGATCGAACAAGAAGCCCACACTTTGAGCATCCCACCCAGCAACTCGAAACTGCTGGGCAAACCTGCGCTTAGCTTTCTCTGGAGGGTGGGGTGTTCTCATTAAAAATCATTCTTCTCCCACACTTGGATTTCCAATCCTCACAGACGCAAAAAATGTGGGTATTATCCCCCAGGATGAGGCGGAATAAATAAGACCAAGCGGCGGAAGTGCTCGGCGCCCGCACCTAGCGCATGAAAGGACTCGGTGCATCTCCGGGGAAGCCAACTCTCCAGTTCCTCAGCAATCCCTGCAAGGTCCCCAGGGCCCTGTGCTCCTGGCTTTATCGCCTGGCAGCTACAGAGAAGTTTCTTTCCCGAGAAATAAAATTTTCTACGCTTTCATCAAAACCCAAACCAAGGTCTCGAGGGCAACATGCTTTTCTGATTAATAGAAGGAAAATGATTTGTTAACGCTGTACTAATTGGGCACTTTGGAATGCAACCAGCTTAAGACTATTGGAAACATCAAACAAATATCTGTATTTTTTTTTTTAAAGACTGCCAAGTTTTTTTCAACCAAGTTTACTTCATCACGGAAACAGAACTCTACTCTTTCTTTAGGGGGCTGTGCAAAGAAAATTAAAGTAGCTGGATTCGAAGTTCTCTAGAAATGCTTAGTCACATTAATCCAAACACTGACTGCTTTTATGAAAGAGGTCTGACTTTCCCCAGTGACAGACCTGGACATACGAGAGGAAAATTAGATCGATCCTTTCTAGGTATCTATTAAACTGCAATGTTTTTGTTAGAATAATTACATGCGGGGAGCTATATCTATAAAAACAGAATGGAAAAAAAAAAGCATGTACAGA